AACACCCGCCGCTATACAACGAATTTATCCGAACACCGCAAGGTCGAATTGGGCCCCCTGGGTTTCCGCGAGGAGACGCGGGGCGAGGCCAAACAGCAGCGCACCCTGCACGGCAGATATGAATACAGACCTCTTCACCTTAAAGGGGGGCCCCGAAGGCCACGCATATTTCAAGGCAAGCCATCCTCTACTGGCCACTTGTTTACTCAAATGCATATGATGCGAGAACGCCCCCGACGGCAGAAACTGAGGGCCAAGATAGCGCGTGCGTGGGGCGACTCCAGCACCGCCAACCTCAGCCGAACAAAACTTGCGATTGGCGCTATACCCGCAGAGGCGTGGGACCAGGACCTGCGTCGTTGTGTTCTGGCGGCCGCCAAAAGTTTCGAGCTGGGCTCCGAGGGGGGGCCTGCGAGGCCTGGGCGCGCGCGACAGCTTCCGCCCGGGCCCTAGAAGCCAGGGGCAAAACATAAGCCAGGTCGTCCACGCATTCAAAGAGGCATCCGTGCACATCAACGTCGAACACCGAGCACTGAGCAACAAGCCTGGGGCCCTTGCTCTCTTCCAGCCACTTCTGTAACGGCCGAGCAAAGTCTACCCGAAACTCGCCGGGGGCACGAGGGCCCCCCATGGGGGCCCCGCTTTGGAGGTGGAGAGCGGTGTGCTCGTCAGCCCCATCTATGCGCAGAATGTGGGTAGCGCGCCTGTCGGCGAGCAGGTCGGCATCCACCGAAGGCAGATGCTCGCGCAGCCCCTGACCCATGCGGCTGCGCGCACAACACCCAAACGCGTTCTTCACATCGTCAAAGACCGCCACGTGGCACACGCGAGCAGCGCGAAAACGCTCGGACAACACATGCACTCCGAGAGTGGCGTTCTCTCTCCCTCTCTCTCTCTCTCTCTCTCTCCTGCGATGGGGCATGCAACCGCGGTCAAACTCGCATGGCGTTCCGCGGGGGACAGAGCGGTAGACGCCTCGGAAGATCGCCCTGAAATTACCCTGCGACGCACCCAACCCACGTGCATCAAATGGCAAGAGGAGTACGCCACCATTAGCAGGAACAACGCCAGTGTAGACGCGGCGATTTGCTGTGCAAGCTACGCGGGATGCGCATGCGTTGCACGATTCACAGGACGACGATCGAAAGAACGAGGCTTGAGGCCCCAGGATCGAAGAAGAACGGGTACGGGAACGAGGGGTAGGAGAGGGATGGAATGGAGGGCGGGGGGGGGGGGCGAAAGGCCATCGCGGAAGCAGCAGCATGCATGGAGAAGGTGAGGCGGGGAATAGGACGACGATGAAAGCGGCGGGGGGAGACAGAAGACTGCCGCGTTTTTCAAGTGCGAGCTAAACCCGCAGCGCTGCCTGCGCCATGTCGTCGCAGAGTTCCACATGATAAAAATTGTTTAGAGTGCAAGGAACGAGCGAGGCGTAGCTCGCCCGCTAGCTTCTCCGCCTCCTTCCCGCACATTTCAGCGCGGGGGCTGAACGCTCGCAGGCGCGCCGCCAGGTCTGCGGGCGGCCCGCGGGGAAGAAACTCAAGGCCGGGGTCGCGTATCATCAATCGGTTGTCCATCGTCCAAAGTTGCACTGGCGACGTACTGGTTGAACGCGGAGCGAGCAGCATCACGCGCGTGCCTGAACGCCACGCAGGTACAGTGCACGCGCGATTGGGACTTCAGGTCGATCACGCGCGTCTCCACCAGGCTTGGCAACACCACGCGACTGAGGATCTCACTGCGGTCTGCCATGCTGCTGTCCGCGAATGCAATGCGCTGCCTGCAAGTAAGGCGGCGGCGTCCACTTGTCTCAGAAGATGTTCCCGCGGGCCCGAAGGGCGACCGCCAGCTCGAGCCGCGGCGCCGGCAGGCCAGATAAGGATCATGCAACAGCAAAGACGATGACAGAGCAACGAGGTATCGGCGAGTGCATGACCGGCCTCCGTTTCCTGCACTTCTTTCCTGTAGTTCCCCTAGCTCATCGAGCTCAGCAGATGTTTCTGCGGGTCCGAAGGACGACCGCCAGCTCGAGTCGCAGCGCCGACGAGCTGCATCCACATCAGGCAACACCCCGGGATACACTGGCACGCAACGATTTGACGTCAGTCAGTGCCAGACCACTCCATGTCTAGTTCCTCGCGCGCACTCAGTCGATCGCAGACGCGGGATAATCGAAGTAGAATGACGGGTCCAATCTGCGTCCGCGTAGGACGTCACTATGCTGGACCCCGCAGCAGGTCTCGAAAGTGGCGACAGTTTCATGGGCCCCACAGCAGCCCTCGAAAGTGGCGACAGTTTCACAGATCGTAGCCCCCCAGCGCTGGCGAGGTCTAATCTGAGTCCCCGTAGGACGTCACTCCGCTGGGCCCCCAGCAGCCTTCGAAAGTGGCGACAGTTTCACAGATCGCAGCCCCCCAGGGATGGCGAGGTCTAATCTGTATCCCCGTAGGGCGTCATTCGCTGGGCCCCCCACGCAGCCTTCGGAAGTGGCGACAGTTTCACAGATCGCAGCCCCCCAGGGATGGCGAGGTCTAATATGAATCCCCGTAGGGCGTCACTCCGCTGGGCCCCCCAGCAGCCTTCGAAAGTGGCGACAATTTCACAGATCGCAGCCCCCCAGGGACGGCGAGGTCTAATCTGACTCCCCGCTGGGCGTCACTCCGCTGGGCCCCCGAGCAGCCCTCGAAAGTGGCGACAGTTTCACAGATCGCAGCCCCCCAGGGATGGCGAGGTCTAATCTGAGTCCCTGTAGGGCGTCATTCCGCTGGGCCCCCCAGCATCCCTCGAAAGTGGCGACAGTTTCACAGATCGCAGCCCCCCAGGGATGGCGAGGTCTAATCTGAATCTGCGTGGTGCCTCACTCCGCTGGGCCCCCCAGCAGCCTCGAAAGTGGTGACCGTTTCGCAGATCGCAGACCCCCAGGGATGGCGAGGTCTAATCTGAATCTGCGTGGTGCCTCACTCCGCTGGACCCACCAGCAGCCCTCGAATGTGGCGACAGTTTCGCAGATCGCAGCCCCCCAGGGATGGCGAGGTCTAATCTGAATCTGCGTGGTGCCTCACCCCGCTGGACCCACCAGCAGCCCTCGAATGTGGCGACAGTTTCGCAACCAGCAGCCCTCGAATGTGGCGTCAGTGTCGCAGATCGCAGCCCCCCAGGGATGGCGAGGTCTAATCTGAATCTGCGTGGTGCCTCACTCCGCTGGACCCACCCTCAGCCCTCGAATGTGACGATAGTTTCGCAGATCGCAGCCCCCCAAGGATGGCGAGGTCTAATCTGAATCTGCGTGGTGCCTCACTCCGCTGGACCCACCAGCAGCCCTCGAATGTGGCGACAGTTTCGCAGATCGCAGCCCCCCAGGGATGGCGAGGTCTAATCTGAATCTGCGTGGTGCCTCACTCCGCTGGACCCACCAGCAGCCCTCGAAAGTGACGACAGTTTCGCAGATCGCAGCCCCCCAGGGACGGCGAGGTCTAATCTGAATCTGCGTGGTGCCTCACTCCGCTGGACCCACCAGCAGCCCTCGAAAGTGACGACAATTTCGCAGATCGCAAACCCCCAGGGATGGCGAGGTCTAATCTGAATCTGCGTGGTGCCTCACTCCGCTGGACCCACCAGCAGCCCTCGAAAGTCGAGGTCTAATCTGAATCTGCGTGGTGCCTTACTCCGCTGGGCCCACCAGCAGCCCTGGAAAGTGACGACGGTTTCGCAGATCGCAGCCCCCCAGGGATGGCGAGGTCTAATCTGAATCTGCGTGGTGCCTCACTCCGCTGGACCCACCAGCAGCCCTCGAAAGCGGTGGCAGTTTCGCAGATCGCAGCCCCCCAGGGATGGCGAGGTCTAATCTGAATTTGCGTGGTGCCTCACTCCGCTGGACCCACCAGCAGCCCTTCGAAAGTGGCGACAGTTTCACAGATCGCAGCCCCAAAGGGATGACGTAAAAGGCCAGAGAGAAGAGGAGGAGCGAAGAGAGGAGGAGAAGGGAAGCAAGAGAGGAGGAGCGAAGAGAGGAGAAGGGATGCAAGAGAGAGGCGGAGGAGCGAAGAGAGGCGGAGAAGGGAAGCAAGAGAGGAGAGGAAGAGGGAAGACAGGAGGAGGAGGCGGGAAGGAAGGAAGGTGGAGACCGCAGTGCTCTATTCAAAACGAGTACCCAACGCAGGAGGTTGGGAAAAAAGGCCGCCCCCCCCCCCCAAAAAAAAAAAAAAAAAAAAAAAAACACGCGCGCCCCCGTCTGGCTCGGGGGTCTGCCAGTCTATCGAGAACCGCGCGCACGTCGGAAACCGCCCACAAACCCTCCAGCACGCGGCGAGACCCCCCATGCCAGCAGAGATGTGTTCCACATCGGGGGGATCGGGTTTGGCTCCGAGGCCGAAGGGGGTGGGGCGAAGGCGGCTGTAATACTTAAGCTTCAACAGCATGAGCCAAATCTCGCCTGGCAAGGACTGGGGGGGAGCGAGCGACGTCGAGACGAACGGCGCAGCACCCGCGAGGCCCTGTGGAGATCCCGCCACCCCCTAACCTCCGCCGAGTCCCTAGCAGACATGCCTCGTGGGGCCAGCGAGGCCCGTCCTTGCAGGAAACTGTCGAGAGACACATGTGTCGCCTGCAGCCCACCTTGGTTGCCAGGTAGGCCCCTGGAACACGCGAGCTCATCAGCCGATGCTTGGTGACGGCGCACCGCGGAATAGTTGCGACGTTTCGGCCCCGGGCCCGAACCTGACAGCCGACGACAAAAATACTGGACTCTAGATAAATCACGGCGCCTCCAAGCCTCACGCACGCCCTCAGCCCACGTACGACGCAGAGATCTCGCCCAGCGTCGAGTCTCCCACTTGGTGCGATTCGTAAGGTCACGGATCTGCATGTCGCAGTAGACGCGCGGCATGCACCGAACCCGAAGCCGAACCCGCCGCCGCAGAAGATGACGAACAGCAGCGCGATGCTCAGCGAGGGCCGCGCCAGGGGCACGTCGCGCACGGCCGAACTACTTTTTGGCGAACGGCATCATGATCGAGACCAGTGCGTCGTAGCCCTCGTCGATGCGATCGGCCTCGGAAAGCCCGAGAAAGGCAGGGGCGCGCCACTTCATGGCAGCGTTCAGCTCAGACAAGGAATCCTCTCTGAAGCCAGGCGTCTGCAGCGCCATCGCGATGACGTCGAAGTTCCACGCCATGGCCGCAAGGCCGTTCTGCAAGCTCGGCACCCCCGCCTCGACCTCGAGCAAGACGGGCGCGCGATCCCGCAGCGAGCCCTTGCTCGGAAAGGGTTGGTACGATCGCGCAGCCGTCGTCATGGTGGCTAGCTTCTGGATGCACGACAGGGCGCCCTGCGGGACCACGAAGTGGGCGATCCAAGAGGCACTCTTCTCGCCGTAGAAGGACGGCGCCAGCTTGTGGAAGGTAGTGGCACAGCCCAAGAAATGCCTATGCATCAGCTCGCGCAAGCACCGAGCCGCGTACCCCATCCGATCCTGGACGAAAGGGCGTGTGAAACGAATCCGTGGTGTCATCAACCGCGAACGAGTCGTTCAAGTCGGCGAAAATGATGGGCGTCGTTCTCTCGGGCGCGGCGTCGAGCTGCAAGCTCAGCCACTCGATGAACACGTCAACCGTGCGCCTCCACGAGGCCTGAGCACCACGAGGGCCAGGAGGAAGGAAGTACAGCACAATAGTCGCGAGCTCCACCGAGCCGGAGGTGACACGAGCGAGCCCAGCGCGGCCCGCAGCAGCGGCAGGCCCACGCACCACGCGATGAACCTTCGACGCCAAGTCCCGCCTCCTCAGGCCGATGCTGACGCCCGCCGAACGATTAGTGAAGGGGCCCCGTCCGTAGCCGAAGTGCAGGTACTCGTGATCCCCACAGAGCTGGCGCCGCACCGCCTTAGAGGGCTGCGCGCGGAGCCTCGTGCCGACGAGGGCGTGGACGGGGTAGGTGCGGCCGAAGGTAGCGATCTCGTAAAGGCGCCTTGGTTGCACGAGGCTGCACACATTGTAACCGAATACTTTGCACCGAATGGGCCCTGGTGAGGTCAGGCGTCGGCAGCCATCGGCGCAGGGCCCCGCTCGGACATGTATGTGTCGACTGCTCCGCCTTCAGCGGGGGCTGCCGAAAAGGGCCCTCCAGGAAGCGTCTCGACACAGAAAGGGGGTAGGAGGAGGACCAGGAAGGGGGGAGAATTGACCTCATGGCCGCGGCGCCGTGGCCCGCGCTCCCCCCCGACCTCTACTCTGGCCGGCAGGGCGCGGAGCAAGGGGCGGAGAGGGTCCAGTGGAGAGTCTCCTGGGGCGGCCTTGGGCGGCTGCGGGTGGTCTGGGCGGTACTGGCTGCGTGATACGGTCGGACCTCCAGTCAACCCGTACAGTAGGAGTTCGGCCACAAGAAACCCTCCACAGGAAACCCAACCTTGAGGCCCCAGGACGTCCACTGTTTTTTTGGTGTGGGAACGTAGCGCTCTCCACAGCAAACTATCGAAACCCAAGCAACCCAGGGCACCCTGGCGGCAAGCAGGCTGTTTCCACGGTCTCACAAGGATGCGCGGCAAGGGCCTTAGGGGGGCCATATTCATGTTTTTTGTTTCGAACGAGGCTGGCCGCCGACACATCGCTCAGGATGGACCGAAGGAGCAAGGATTGCAAGGGCGACCTTGGAACATCGTTCATCCTGACGATGCGGGCTGAGTGTAGGACAGGAGGCTGTCCTTCAAGAGCACGAGACCCTCCGCAGGCCACGAACGCCCCACACCATAAACTCACCGATGGCACCCTCCCCCTTCGGATGCCCGAGAGCAGCCAACACACACGCAGAACGCCAGGGTACCCTCCGCGTAACTGGCCACGATCTGATAACGCGGGATGACGATTAATAAAAAATGGGTGAGAACGATTCAAACATAGTGTTTTCTATTTCTGCTTAATTGTATGACAGGAGGAAAACGATTTTAACAACAATTTTCCAGCCCGAGGCCGGTTTTTCCAATCGTCATCCCGGGCGCCGCCGCGTGAACACGACCCCCAGTCATTTAATAATCGTCATCCTCCGTTACCTCGGGCCGACCGTAACCGGCCCCTGCCCGACAGAACGTGACTGCCCAGTGTGGACACACGCTGACAACTCGCGGTCGCTGGATTGCGAGTTTCGAACCACATCTGAACCGCAGAGCAGGGGGGGGAGGAGCATGCCACTCATTGCCACAACTTGTGGCCGCCGCGATCGCCCCGGCGACTTCCAAAACCGACCCGCAAGATGGTCCGGGGTTGGACATCACGCAACGAAGTTCTCCGGGGGAGTTTTGCGGTTCCCGATGATTTTCTGGTATGTCCGCCCCTGTGATTGCATAGGGCTGGCGTGCTAGAGTGCTCTTCTGTTGTCTGGGAGGCGACCTCCGAGGAGGCCCGAAAGGGAAAAAACAAAGGAAGGGTAACGATATGGGTGCACGTTCTGTCTCTCCTGATGCTCCTCCTCCCTTCCACATTTGTGACCCCAACGGGGCGCCACTTGGGATCTGGCTCGCCGAAGACCAGCTGCGAGCCGTATTCGTCGCCCGTCAGCAGCAGGGTGAACTTCGAGATGCCCTGCTGCTCCTTCCCGGCGGCGAGGTAGGAGAGGGAAACGTCTTTGAATGCGCACAAGGACACCCTAACAATCGTATCATTGAATGTGACATGTGAACGAAATTTCGGACATATGTTCTAAGCATGTTTTGAACATGTGTGTTATATGCTAAGCATGCTTATCACATGTGTTTAAACAGCTGGTGAATATTTGAAAAAAATGCTTCCTCCCCATGGATCGTCCTCCACACATATATATATATATATATATATATATATATAAGTATGTGTGTGTGTCTGTGTTGCCTATATTCCTGGACCTCCTTGACATCCACCTGTGCGCAGCCCCCTCCAAACACGGAGCGCCAACAAGACAAGTCGTGCCCTCGCCCTTCCGGGGCCCCAGGAGAACCGCGGGCCGTATCTATTCCCAGGACCGGCACTACGTCCCGCGCCGTGGTTGGACGAGCCCGGGGCCACTCAGAAGACGCTGGGCGCGCTTCACACCACCCCAAAACCACAAGTTGGATGGGGGGGGTCCTCCTCCGCCTCCTCCTCCCCCTCCCCCTCCCCTCCTCCTCCTCCTCCTCGTCCTCCTCTCCTTCCTCCTTCTCACCTCCTCTTCCTCCTCCTCCTCTTCTTCCCCTCCTCCTCCTCCTCCTCGTCCTCCTCCTCCTCCTCCTCCCTCTCATCCTCCCCATCCCCCTCCCCTCCTCCCCTAATGGAAAACAGGCCCATCAGGGGGCCCGAGCAGCCCGAGACTGCGGCAGGCTCGCGCCGTGACGACCCCCCTGGCGCGAATCGCCTGCTGCTGCCGCGCGGGGGTCGCTCCACACCTGGCTCGAGGAGCGGCGCGCCCGCTCCCCGGACTCGCCAAAAATATTCATTCCATGCACTCACATCATCGGCGCCGATAGTTCGAGTGGGCACATCTCGCTGTGAAAAAAGGAGTGCAACCCAGATATCTGACCAACGGCGCGATGCCCCTGCACTTCTGGCGGTCCAAGAGTCCCCACTCCTTGTGGGTGGACTCGTAGCCGACAGACGCGCAAGCGTCCCAGCCTGAGTCCCACGCCATCCGACGTATAGGAATGGTCGCGGGAGCCCGAGTGCAGGGCCGAAAACGGGCCGAAGCTTATATGCTGGGTTCCTGGCGGCGCTCAAATCTTGACTCAGGAGGGCCCAGACAGGGCTGAACCTAAACGGTGTTTTTCGTTGTCGTTTCATGTTCGTGTTCCCTCGTTTTGTCTTCCATCCGCCTTTGCCACAAAACGACATCGAAACGAAAACGGCGGACGAAACCGCAAAAACACCGTTTAGGTCCAGCCCTGTGCCCAGAATCGAATCGGAAAACCAGATCGGCGATCGGAATGATTCGGATCGGCAGACGTCGGCAGCCGAGTCGGCAGAACTCGAAGCGGCGGCAGTCGGCAGGCTGGTAGATCTTCACTGAGAAGGCGAAGTCCGAAATCGGAATGCGAAGTCGAACCGGATCGCAATCGGAAGCCGTCGCTTCAGGGCCCCGTAGACCCAGACACGCGAGACCCAGACAACCAACATCCCTGTAGACCATTTTTTCCAGACGGCGGCACGAAGTACATACCACCCTGCAGCATTTCTCAAACAAACCATTAAAGCCTGCAAGACCCTCCTAAACCTGGACACAGATCCGAATCCTGCAGCGCAGCAAACAAAATATTCACGGGTGCTGAAACATGTGACTTGCAGGGAAGGGTGTCGTCTCCTTGGCTTTCCGTGTCCTGGACTGCCTGTGTCCTGATCTCCGGGGGCCTGTCGGCATCGACTCGAGTCTTTTGAGCAGGGACCGACCGTCCCGGCATTCCTATAGTCCTACCACGAAATGTTCTTCAAGTACAAAAATGTTCGAATAACCAAAACAATGCTCTTAGAACATACCCCATGTGTTCAAACAGGTCAGACTCCGCCTGTAATGTTCTAAGCCTATTTCGTGGAAGCCACAAAAAGGTTCGAAGAATATGCTTTGGCAGGGCTACAGGCGAGCCAGGACGCTTCGCCACTGCTCGAATGTGGAATTCGGGGGCCACATGCGAACCCTACCCCTACCCCCCACGATTTCTGAGGGGGAGGGTGGGGTTCACTCCGCTCGGGAGCTCCCGAGCGATGTGAACTCCACCTTCTCCCTCAGAAATCGTGGGGGGTAGGGGTAGGGTTCGCACGTGGCCCCCGAGGAATGCCGCGCGGGGGTCGTCACCGCGTCGTCACGGCACCAGCCGGCCGTGCCCAGCAGCTCCCGGGCGAGGCGTCCCCACGACGCGAGGGGCCGTGCGGAGGAGCCTGGGCCCTCTGGCCCTCCCGGCTGGCCGAGGCCTCGCCTGTGGGGAAAAAGGATCAGCCCTGTGGTCCTCCTCCTCCTCCACCTCCTCTTCCTCCTCCTCCTCTTCTGTCTCAGCCTCTGCCTCCGCCTCCGCCTCCTCCTCCGCCTCCTCCTTCTACTCTTCCTCGTCCTCCTCCGCCTTCTCCGCCTCCTCCTCTCCGCCTCCGCGTCCGCCTACGCGTCCGCCTCCGCCTCCGCCTCCGCCTCCTCCATCTCATGCTCCTCCTCCTGCTCTTCCTCCTCCTCCTCCTCCTCCTCCTCCTCCTCTTCCCTCTACTCCCCCTCCTGGGGGATTCGCACAAAAGGCGGCCATAACCCTGTGGGCGACGGACCCAAGTGAGGAGGGCCAGAAGCATTGGGGGCAGGGGGTCTTTTCAGCAGATGTGTCGAACCAGACCACCCAGATATACGATCCCTGAGGGCAGAGATGGGGACCTCAGTCGGGCTACGTCCTCATCGTGCTATCAGCCTTCGGCGGCCTCGTCTTCTCGACGGCGGGGGGTGGCGCGAGGGTGGTGCGGGGGGGGCCTCTCAGACAGGCAGAGGCCCTTCACGCGGGCCTGGAGACACCTCAGGAGGCTACTCGTAGCCTCCGCCTGCCTCCTGAGGAGATCCTCCGCTTGCTCGGCAGGCCCGCCTCCCCGCCGCCTCCTTGCTTGCACCGCCAGGTGAGCGGGGCAACGCCAGGAGGTGACCAGCTCGGGGGGGCACCTCGCCGAGGGATCGGCGACGGGCCACCGATGACCAACTCTCTCGCGGTCCTGGGCGGGCGGGCTGTCGGGACCCATCGTCGGTGCCGGGTGGACGATCGGCGGCCGACGCATGCCCCCCCCCCCGAGCCCGTCCCCCCGTGATGCTGCCCCTGACTACTCACCGGGTGCGGCGCCCTCCTCCCAGACACCCTCCTGCACCCGGGGCACGATCCCGCGGACACGCGGTCGCACGGACACGCTCCGCGCGGGGCATCCGCGAACAGAAACGCCCCGCATCCGCGGGGTCGCGGTGATTAAAGGGGGCCTAGCTGTCTTGGCCGTGGATACTGACATGAACGACCACAATGGACGGGTCTTATTCAAGATGGCGTAGCGAGCTTACGCGGTGGCTGACGCGGGCTACCAGCGCGGCACGCTACATTGGAAATCAGGGCGCTCACGCGCGACCTCACGCAGGCAGCTCACGCGCCGATGTCGGTGAGGACAATCACGTTTGTCTGCGTCATTCATCTGTCCCCGCGCCGTTTGTTCTCGACGCGCCCAAGTGGACGACGCCGACGATACTGCAAACCCACGGCGCACCCTGCGACCCACGCCTCAAATAGACACAGCCAGCGCCGCGGCAAACTCAACGACGAGCCCTGCGCCCGAGGCGGCGTTCGCCATGGTGACCGAAGCGCCCTCTCAAAAAAGCAAGGCCGCGCGTCGGAACAAGCGGCGCGGCGACGTATGGGCCATGTGGGCAATTTCGGAAACCCTGGACCCAAAAGTATTGTCATCTCTCTTAGGGGGCGCCTTCCGCTGTTTTACTTGTCATATCGCTTGTACCCAAAATATTGGACCCTCATATCGCTTGTCATATCGCTTGTCACATCGCCTTGCTCATCACTCTTGGACCCAAACTATTGTCATATCGCTTGCTTTACTTCCGCTGCCTTCCGCCGCCCTTCCGCCCGCCTCCGCTGGCCTCCGCCGGCGGATGGCGGCTTAAGGCTCTGCTTCCGCCGACCTCCCGCCGCCCTTCCACGCCGAGGGAGAGTTGACAGCTCCTTCGACCTTTGGAGGGCAAGGCCCTTTGCCGAAACGCCCCAGTGTACGTTTTCGCCCACGTTCCCCCCCGTCACTTGAGCAGGGGCCGGCCGTCCCGGCATTCCTGCAGTCCTGCCACGGAGTGTTCTTTAGAACCCCGACATGGTCGAAGGGCCAAAGCAATGTTCTTAGAACGTGACCCCGACGTGATCCAGCAAGTCGGACTCCGCCAGAAGTGTTGCCAGAAATGCTCTGAGAACATTTCGTGGAAACCAAAAATCGGCGGTGGACAAACCTCCCTTTAGTAAACCTCCTTTTAGTGAAAACAGCCTGGGACCGAAACCGACGGACCTGGACCCGCAAACAAAAACGGCCGCGACGCCCTCTCGCGAACCGAACACGGCCAACTCCTGAATCGACGTGTCAGGGTAGGAGGCCTGCCCACCCCCCAAAAAAAAACTTCTTGGAACATGGCTTGGTGGGGCTATGTGGGCGAGCCGGGACGCTCCGCCGCTGCCTGGAGCCCCCGGGCTCCCGCAGGCGCTGCAGGAACGTCTCCCCGGTGTGGCACAGCCCCTTTCCGAGGCGGCGGGGGGCGGGGCGCGGCCGCCCCCCCCTTCCGGGGACGCCGGCGGCTCCGCCTCCTCCTCCTCCTCCTCCTCCTCCTCCTCCTCCTCCTCCTCCTCCTCCTCCTCCTCCTCCTCCTCCCCCTCCTCCCCCTCCTCCTCCTCCTCCTCATTCCTCCTCCTCATTCCTCCAGCCGTTTCGGCTCGAGCTATCTCTGAGGAAAGCTCGAGCTTGTGCCCACGTACTTCGAAGCGGCTCGTGGGCACGAGCCAAACGTTCGCCCCCTGCGCAAGACGCCGCGTGGATGGGGCCTGATGTCCTTCCTGGACCGCACCTCCCCCACTGGGGGTGCGGCAAGTGTGGTACGTATGACAACTGGGCCTCCCGCATACGCTGTCGGCAATGTGGGAACTCAGAGCCACAGAGAGCCGTTCAAGCCGCCCAGCAGGCAGCCAAGCAGGCTCGAGGTGGCAAAGGTGGAGGAGGCGGCGGCGGCAAGGGCGGTCCGCCTGGGCCCAATGCCAGCACCTCCGCCAAGACCATCGCGGCGATGCAGAAGCAGATCGACCGCCTCCTTGCACGAGACAAGCCTCCGCAGCAGCAGCCAGCGGCAGGCAACGCATCGAGTGGGCTGTCGTACAAGGATGTCCTCGTCTTCCTCAAGGAGAAGAAGTTTGAGGATTCAGTCGTGCAAGCGATCTCCCAGAAGCAGGCCCAGGACCAGGTGGAGCACCCCCCGACGGTCCAGACGGCTCGCTGGAGGGTTGAAGGCTTGCGCAAGAAGATCGAGAAGCAGGAGCAGCTGCAGAGGAAGCTTGAGGAGCGCCGCAAGCAGCTGCTCGAAGAGGAGGCGACGATCACCACGACGCTGGATGAGCTCAGGAAAGAGCTCTCAGTGGCGGAGAAGGTCTACTCTCGGGTGCATGCGATTGCCATCAATGACGTGGTCAAGGTCACTTCGGCAGCACTCGAGCCCTCGGTCCTCGACAACGAGCAGGCGAAGTCAGCTCTCGCAGTCCTGCAGAAGCTCCAGAAGGAGGCGCTTGACCTCAAGGCAGCATCTCAGGGGCCTCCTCCTCTGGTGCCTGGCGGTCGTGCTCCTGGGGGTGTTGCCCAGCGCGGCAGCGGCTCAGGGGGGGGCACGAGCCGATGGCGCAGAGATCGCAGCCGCGGACGGAGATGGCGACGACATCGACATGGAGCTGCTGGAGGATGGTGACCTGGAGCAGCGGACGGAGGACCTCCGAAAGGCAGGAGAGGAACTTCGAGCTGCCGCGCCAGGAGAGGAGCAGGAGGCCGCCAAGCGCAAGAACGCTCAGGCAGCGGCAGCTCTGGGGATCAAGAGAGCGCGGCGTCTTTGACAACGCGCTCGACCGCTTCTGGAGCTGCAACGTCGTGGACGCGGACTGCAGTGAGGCGCTTGGCTTTGCAGTGCCTGCCCTTCGCCCGAGGCCTGCCCAGGCAATCTCGGGAACGCTGGGCGCACCAGTCGTGAAGCGCGGGGGCTTGGCACCCGCAGGCGGTGGCGGCTTGCTGGACCCTCGGGCTTGGCCTGCGCTGGCGTCGTCGGGATTGCCTTCGCGTCGCGGGACACCGCGTGCAGTGAGCGTGGCTCAGGGCAAGGAGGGGAGGGATTCAGCCCCTCGAAGTCACACCTCCTTGCCCACATCGTCGATGAATACCTTGTCATGGACAGGCCCCACGGCGACTACGGGCGGCAAGAGCTTTCCCCCACTGGCCCGCTTCTCGGGGTGGGGGACAAGTGCACGCAGCGCGGTGGCTTCAGGCACGTCGTCATCGGCGGCAGGATCTTCGGTGACATCCTCGAGGCTTCCCGGGCGTGGGACTCCGTCGGCTTTGGCAGGCTCATCTACGGCACCTCCCTCGGCGACAGCTTCTGCGTCGACTGGCCCTGCGCTTTGCGTCAGGACGCGGAGCCCTGGCGGTGGAGATTCTCCCCGTCAGGCTCTTCAGTCGCCACCCGCCCCGCCCTCCTCCAGGGCACCCATTCCAAAGGAGGCGGGGGCACCGGCGCGTGAGGAGGGGGGGCAGGGAGTTTTGCGGACGCAGCACTCACATGGCGGTGCAATCCCTCTTCCCCAAGTGGAGCTTGATGCGGCTTCGAAAATATCACGGTCAACATCCGACAGGCATGGCCTTGAGCACAGAGCGGGCGCGCCTGATCGTAATATTCCAACTGGCTCGGACCACGCGCCACCAGCTGATTTATTGTTGCCTGGCATGAACGTGAACTCCTGGACTACGACAGGCGCTGTGGCCAACTGGTTCAGGGACCTATCGGCCAAGAGCGTGTCCAGCCCTTGGGGGCCGCAAGTGCGCCAGGGAAAGTCTCCGATTGTGACGGTTCAGGAGACCAGGTTGAAAGCTGCGTATAAGATCCTTGGGGCCGAGAGTTGGGCTACTTCTCATAGTTATCGGTTGTCTCTGGGCAAGGCGTTGGCTACTGGGAGTGGGCCTTTGCAGAGCTCAGGAGGAGTAGGCACATTGGTGGACTCTCAGTTAGAGTCTAGTCATCTGGAGCTCCCAAGTCTTGGGCAATTCGACGGCCGCATAACAGGCAGGCTGATCAACATAGGGTTCCCGACGGGCTTGGAGCGATCCTCCTGCGCAGCACGCGTGCCTGGGTAGTGCAGGCCGACTGGGATGTGACGCCTGGTGCCTTGGAACTGTCGGGCTGGGTCGAGCACGTGCACGGTGTAACGACTGCCCCCGATTTGCCCACGTGCTTGCCGTCGCAGCGCAGTCAGCAGGAGGGATGAGAAGGAGGGCTCGTAGTTCATAACAAGGGAGGTCGGATCTTGGATTACTTCGTTGTGAGCAAAGCGATCGCTAGCTGCGCTGGCGAGGTGCAGGTAGTCAGCGAGGCACCGCTTTTTCCACGCTGCCCTGTTGCCGGGCGGATGAGAGACCTCAGCGCGTCCACGACCGTGGACCAGCAGGTGCGTCTCAAGCTGTTCGACATGAAGGTAATGGGCCCCCTCCCAGACGAGCATGTAGTCGAGTGGTCAGATCCCCTCGAGCATGGATTTGGCTGGCTAGCAAAAGGGTGGTTTTCCGAGGCTGAGCGTCGTCTTTTGGAGACTCATGGGATCGAGGACGGCAGGGCCTATGCTGGCCGCACGGCAGGGCCCATGACCAAGAAGGTTCCTCTTTCAGCGCTGCTGGAACGAAGCGTGCGGCGAAGGTTTTCGGAACAGACCACTTCCTGGACGGCCTTTGGGGCCCTGATCAGGAAAGCGAGCACTATCGCCCGCGGGGCCCCTGGGGGGCCACGGGTAAGCAGCTCCTCGGCGCCTGGAGTGCCAAGCTCAAAGCTATCATCCAGGACTTGGATTTCCAGAACGGCAACGTGAGCAAGACTTCTCTCCAGGGGATGGTCGTCTTGGCAGCCAGTGCGGGGACCTTCGAGGACGGGGCCTTGGAGGCGCTCGGCACTGAGGTCTTTCGTCGCCAAAAGCTGGACGCAGTGGAACACATGGCCAAGTGGAAGACCTGGGCCAAGAAGGCTGTAGCTGGAAGGGGCAAGGCCGCCCGCGCATTTTCGAAGGAGCAGGTGTCGTGTCTTGCTGGGCGTGGCGGCGACGGCGAAGATCTTCCAGCAGCTGGACAGGCCGCGCTGCGTCGTTTATTGCAGCAGTGGCCCCCCTTGTGGCAAGTCGACGGTCGAGGGCCTCACCCCTCCACTTGGGAGATGCCACCAGATGAACCTGACCTCGCCCCCCCTTCGGCTCTCAGACCTGCTGCGAGCATGCCGCAAGTATAGTCCAGGCGCTGGATTAGGCTGGGGTGGTTTTCACCCTAGGTGGGTCTTGCAGTTGCCCGAGAGTCACCAGATGCGTCTCCTGGAAATTCTAACGGTGTTCGAGGTTGAGCCTACCTCGGTACTTATGTTCCTGACCAATGTGGTTTTTCTTGGACAAACCGACGGGCGGGGCACGGCCTATTGGGCTGTTATGTTTCATCATGAAGCTCTGGAGTCGCCTGGGGCAGCCATATTGCAAGGCTTGGGAGAAATCGCACGTGTTCCAGTCCTTCTGGGGATCAGGACCTGACACGACGTGTGAGCGAGCTGGGTGGGTCCACAACCTATTGGGGGCCCACTGCAAGGCCTCTGGGTCCCCCCCCCGGCATCGGCCCTCCTGGACCTAGCCAAGTTTTACGCGAATGTGGTTCACGAACACCTGTTGGCTGCCGCCAAGAGGTTCCGTTTCCCCGTCAGAGTTTTGCGAGGGCACTGCTGTATCTACGCTGGCTTCCGCGTGCTCCTGCACGGCGGGGCAGCCTCGGAGGTACGTTGCGCAAACGGCGCAGTAGTGGCCGGTTGCTCAGGAGCGACCACCTTCGCCAAGGTGCTGCTGCTAGGCCCGATGCTGGGGGCACGAGAGCACAGGCACCTGTTGTATATGCGAAACGTCGTGGACGATACCACATTGCAGACATGCGGGCCCAAGCTCCAGGTCGCCGCGCAGCTGGCAGGGGGAGCGGAGTCGCTATTCAAGTCGTTTAAGGAGTTGCAGCTCCCAGTCGAGTTTAAGAAGTGCGCCTACCTCTGCACCAGGGAGGTGGATCAGCATCTGCGCGGGCTCTGGACACTGCCTGCAACGTGCAGAACTGAATCAACCAGGAACCTTGGGACAAACGCCACTCTTGGAGGAGTTCGGAGGATCAGCATTCAGAACACTCGGCTTTCAAAGGCGTCGCCCAGAGCCCGTCGGCTGAAGATTTGGCAGAGCGCAGGTGCAGATATTTCCATGGCGCCTCGTATGGGGCCCACTGCAGTAGCTTTATGGGGCTCCAGCGTATCGGGCATTGCGCCGACTCGAATGGCAGGGCTCAGAGCGTCTGCTGTATCATCCTTGGGGCGCCTACCGCGTAAGGCCTCTGTGGGGCTCAGGATGCACACCTACGACCTGGGGCCCAAGATAGACCCTTTGATCGTATATGTGGGGCATGTGATCTTCATGTGGGCTACGGCGATCTGGGAGGCGGTCCCGAATGCGCAAGTCCTGGCAAATACGATGCAAGGTAGCCGTCTCAAGTCGTCAAAGACGGACTATCCTCGGCGCAGCTGTGCATCACCTTCGGATGTGGCCCTGCTCGGTCTCAGGGGCATAGGCTGGGACTTCAAGGACAGCACCCGCAACGTGTCAGACCTCGGAGTCGAGTATGACCTGCTGCAGTTGTCCCCGATGCAATTCCGAGGTGCGGTAAGGCAAGGGGCTTCTCGGGAATCTGATCGACATGCCCTCAGCACCCAGAACGGCCCGAATGGGCCCCCGCTGGTTCCCATATTCTGGAGCGGCATTCGGAAGCTGACGAAAAGCAAGGGAGCATCTTGGACGAAACATCACCAGAGGTGTCTCCGAGGTCTGGTTTCAGGTGCTCACCGGCCTTAGACGAGGCTACGCAATCATGGGCTGCATCCAGACCACCTTTGTCAGCTCTGTCGAGGAGCACCTGGTACGCTATGGCACCGTCAGTATGAGTGCCCTGCTCATGAGCATATCCGCAGAGACCACGTTGGACGCAGGCTGAAGCAATGTGCCGCACGAGTAGAAAGACCTGCCCATCCTCAGTGAAAGGTTTGCACGAGGGATATTTCCTGACCCACAGGCCCTGTTCGAGCTCCCAGAGGCCTACGAGAGCACTCGGTGGCACAATCGTCCCTCGGCAAGCGTGCTCTCAGGACTCCTGTGCCTCGACGGGTCCGCCAAGTGGGCCAACCTGGAGGGCATGTCTAGAGCGGGGTGGGCTATATGCAGTGTAGATCGGTTTGGGAATATGAAATCGGCTGTACATGGTCTTGTACCTGTGAGTGCCGCCCCCCAGCAGACGAGTAAGGATGGGGAGGACTATGCTGTATAGATGCTGACGCAGGTCGGTCTTCCCCCGTTTCAGTTGTATTTAGATTGCCAGTCTACTCTGGATTCCTTGGGCAACGGTCATGGGTGCTCCGTGGGTCCTGGGGCGCCGAGAGGTCACCTCTGGGGCCCGTTCTGGTCCGCGTTTGGCCAAGGGGACTTCGAGGCTTTTAAGACGAAGGCCCATGCGACGGCCTCCGACGTCGAGTCTGGGGTCACCACGGCATGGGAACAGCGTGCGAATCAGCATGCTGACACCTTCGCCAAGGCTGGTGTCGATCTGCACGGGCGGACCGACGACGACATGCAATTGTGGCGAGGTCTTCGGAGCCTGGCCATGGAGGCAGGGAGGTGGG